TCCACTGACAACGTCGTCACTTGTTAATGTTACCTTGGGAGTTTTCAATTCACAATACACAATACATACATACATAACAACAAAAAATGTCTTTTGCAGCCCCGGCTTGATGAAACGAAATTCATTGATGGATTAATTTCTCTACAATTAGACTTATTGATTTGACAGTGGCGCTCCCATTGGTCAACTTTGCAAACACTAAGTCCATCCCACTGCTTCATTCCACGAGCATGAGCTAAACCAGGCATGGTGACAAGGCAATTGTCTTGCACTATGTTCTTTTATCTGAATCATGCTTTCCAAATCCTGATTGGAAAGGATCATTGTCGGGTCCCGGCCAATCTCATGTCGTCGTCGTTCACTTATCCGATTGTTCCATTTCCAATATACCTGGCAGGTCCACATTTATTGGTATTCCCACTGGCCAGTATGAACATCCTTTGAGCCATGGGTCGTTATTATCTATCTACTCATTAATTGAGTTGTTTTTCTTTTTTTCTTTTTTTACCTCTGAGCCCTGGCTACAGGTGGCTGGCCCGCGGTTCACCCACGAGACTAGCATTATTCCCAACCCTCCGGGACAGCTACTCATGCACGCAGTCATGTACGCAACATCCAATCAACCAGCCCTGCTCACTACTTTCTTCACTTCAAGGTTCATTATCGCCAGACTAACAAACCTCTCTATCAGCGTAATCAGCCTTTAACCCTAATCTGGCAGACTGTTCTGGAGTTGCATGGCGTCGCTAGTCGATGAGCTGACTTGCCCAAAGTTTATCTCTCCACGATGTCGGTACCCTGTTTGTTTTATTTATCTCACTATAGTCCCTGACATGGGTGTCTTTTGATTGCCTGTTTAGCTAACCTTTCTTTTCCTCTCTGGTTTAACAGGTTGAAGTCCGACACCATGTCAGGCTTAGGCCCGGAGTTTGCAAAGAGCTTTGCAACGGAAACATGGGTGCTCTATGGTGTAGGGATATTGGGAACTGTTCTGCGATTGTTAGTACCATGCCTTGAAACTGCGATGTGCCGTTTTGTCAGCTTGATACTAACTTCCTTGTCTTGATAAAGCGTCGCACGTATACGTCGACTTGGTGTCCGCAACCTTCAAGTCGATGACTATCTCATGCTCTTCGCCGTTTTATGGTACACGCTATTATGCGTTGCCCTGAATGAAGTTGCCTCGGGAGGGGGTTCGAATTTGATGACCGATGAAGATAAAGCGAATTTGACGCCGGTTACCTATGCTGAGCGGGTGAGGGGAAGCAAATGGGTTTTTGTGTCGGAGCACTCGTTTATTCTGGCCATCTGGGCGATGAAGGCTTGCATGCTGGTGATTTATTCCCGTATCACGTAGGCCTCCTCTTCTGGCGACTTTCCTCGAAGGTACGGCTAACATGGTTCTTGCAAAGCGAGGGTCTGCATGCACGTAAATGGGTCACCTATCTTTCAGTCTACGTCGCCCTAGGCTTCGTTGCCGTTGAACTGTCCCTGTTTCTCATCTGCCGGCCTCTGTCCAACTACTGGGCTGTACCCACGCCTGACTGTCAGTGCTTGTCCATATGATTGCGCTAGAGAGAGAAACGCTTATGCTAACTCATTAAAGACCAATGCTCGTCGTACCAGTACTACGAGATCATCCAGGGCTCCGTCTCCATTTCCGCCGATGTCTTCATGCTCGCTGTCGCCATTCCGCTCCTGCTGCAAGTTCGCGTTCCTCTCAAGCAGAAAGTCATCCTTCTCGTTCTCTTCGGCATGGGAATCTTTGTCATTGTTGCGGCCGTCCTGAACAAAATCTACTGCTTGGTTCCGTCACTGATCTCCTACGTCTATATGAACTGGTATTTTCGCGAAGCAACCGTCGCCATTCTCGTCACCAATCTTCCTCTTGTTTGGTCTCTGCTGCGTGACGTGTTCCCCGCTCTCAAGAGTTGGACAGGAGGATCCAAGAGAGGCACAGACAGGTATCGGTCAGGGCCTTGGACCAGCAAGGGATCCGGGCTTCGGGCCTACGGACCCGCCAGTCAGTTACGGTCTGGGGATTACAACATGCAGGACTACACAAATCATAGCACTGCGATGCATCAGAAAGCGGTTTCCGATGTCAGCGTCAACCAAAGCGACGAGCGGGACCTGAGCGATGATGGGTCTGATCGTGCTCTCAGAATCCGACAAGACGTGACGGTGACGGTTGAGCGCGAGACCCGCCCACCAGAATATTGGGACACCCACCATACGCAGATCACCAATGGTCCTCCCCAACCTCAGCCCTGATAAAAGCGCGATCGACTTCTTTCTCTTTCTTAGCATAGACTTAGACGACTGTATATACTTTTCTTCTCCTTTGTTACCTATACCTTTTCAACTTTCTTCATATTCTCATGATCTACTGATGCTCACCGCCAAAAGACTTTTGGACTTATTGTGTTATTTAATCGTGGGTGCACGGGGCCCCGCTGTGGTTGGGATATGGAGGGAGGTAACAAAAAGGCCGCAGACCAGGAATCTCGAACCAAACCATGGGCTGGGAAATCAATTATTGATTGATCTTCAGAGATTATCTACGCAAATGTTGGAAGTCCTGAAATGATTCGCGAGGGCGAATATTAGGAACGCGCACAACCAAAATATTCGCAGATCTGGTCGTCCAATGCCATTTGTGAAAAGCATTATGAGAAAATTTGCCAATTATGACCAATGTTCAAAGATTTTCAGCTGGTATGTATTCTGTCCCACTCCCACTTCCTGCAGATCTCCCGGGAATTGCGTCAGGTAGGTAGCGTGGGGCAGTGCGGTATCATTGTATTTGAAAGAGGGGATTGTAATTTGCATTTTCTTTCCGCGCCAGGTCCGACGGAATGCCTCCAGCCAAGAGGCTGTAGAGCAACTGTCGTACGGAGTAGGGCTATTCACACCGGAAAAGTAAATCAATTTCTGATTGATTCTATGAAGTCAGTCTAACCTCTCGCACCGTCGGATAAGCCCAAGTCAATCTAACCGCCACCTTTCTCGATCAGGAAATCTTCTCGATCTTTCAGTTTAGGCTGCGCAGGCCAAAGACATGGCTCTCCATAGGTCGATAATGGGATATCCAAACCTCTGATTACATAATTCCAAGCTGATATTTTGTAGATGAGCAACATAACATATCATCACGCACTACCTATTCCTGGCACGTTATCCGTACTGCTCACCGAGAGAACCAGTGGCCATCGGAGTAGGTACCTACCTGGGTTGCGTACCTGATGATCGTGTACTACTCAAACGGCAGGCGTCATCCGGGACGGCAGCGAGCTACCAAGCCATATCAAGTAAGCGTTTCCTTTCGGCCCCTGGTTAAAATTTAGCGCATACTAACTAGTACCTGTGGTGGGGTCCTGCCAAAAGTAGAAGCGACTCAAACGAGAAGAGACGGAGCATCGGGATCGGATCATGTTGCGCCACCGGGAGTTGGAATGAAATGCTACCTTACCTAGTTACCTTCCTTACGTACGTGGGTTCAGTCACAGCTTACATTACTCTCTGTTTTGAAATTGAGAGTGAAACAACTTAGCCAGTGCCGAGGACTGGATTAGATGAGCTCGAGCTCCACCGGCAGTGCGTTCCGTATCTATGGAGTTAATGGAATTTTTTGTCTTGCGCTCAACTCAGCCTGAGTTTGGTACGAAATTTCTTGAGAGGATAGGCTCTAGTGGGGAGGGAACTACTCCGTAAAACTTTGGAAGGACACCGATCAAGCTGAGGACCGTGGGGTGGGATGCCACCTGCTGAACCACGGTTCGTTTTATCTTGCTGGTCAATCTGTTCATTTTCCTGATATGGACGACTTGCGTCTTTTTGGCAGGTGTCAACAAAAACATCGTCGATGGAACGGACATTCGGCATTTGAAATTTTATATAATTTTGTTGCCAAGTTTGTCGTCGCAAGAGTCAAGGATGTAAGCACAGAATCCATTTGGCCAGTCCACACACTAATAATGTGTAGCATGGGGTCCACGTGGTGTTTGCATAGTCTGTTGCGACTCGCGAATTGATCCTTCACGCAAACAATTACGATCCTTGCTAGTCTGAACTAGACTAAATGTACACACGTCCTGTCCACGGACGTCATGTCCCTTGTAGGTGAACAGTTGGTTAGTACGGTGGATATCGGTTCGCCTGTTGTCCGGTGCTAAAGCCGGATCACTACTTTGTTTGTCCAGCTCCGAGGATAGCATGATTGCCCAGAGTCTCAGCTGGCATGTATTTAGGCTAGATGGTAGTGGGTTTCTGGCTGCGAACCTTGAGGTCGTACTGCTTGGCAATCCATAGTCCATGTTCATGGAGGCTTCAGCAGACCGGATCCGCTAAGCTGCAGGTGCAAGGATACAGAGTACTATGAGTAAATCGGGCAAGGCGCACGGCCACTGTGCCTGTTCGCCGGTTACACCGAAGTGGGTTTATTTCACAAAGACACTGGGTAGCCTGGTTAGTTGGTAACTGCAGCTGCTGATAAATACGCGATAGTTGCAATTGACGATTACTCCCTATGCGAGTGGTTATCGCCAACTATATTGTCGGGGGTAAGTTCTAGGCGACGCTTGTACCCAACAGGGTAATCTACGGACTTACGGAGTAAAGGAAGATATTTTGAATTCTGGAGGACAAAAGCACACTGCACGTGACTTGAAGAGCGCCCCCACATGTTTGCGTGGTGATGGAAGATCATCCTGTTGATACTTGGTAGACATATGACGCACTTGGCGATGATTATGATTCCCAGCAGCTTTTTCTCACGGTAAGTGCTGCCGAGTGCTTCCCCCATCGATATGTAGACACTAACACGTCGTTTAAGGTTCCTAAGTCCAGAGGCATAGTTCGTCAAGGAGCGTTCACTTGCACAGACAAGTGATAAGCAAGAGATCGGCCACTATTGATTACCAACAAACTTTGCCTTGTTCATCATACCCGCAGTGTGTTTCCAGCAGAGTTCGGTTCTAAATTCCTACCTACCTACCAACATGTCGGGGGAACTTTCTCCCTCGTTCTTGAACTTGGAGGGCCTCCATGTCTTCATCACTGGTGCTGCTGGGGGCATTGGACAACGAGCCGTTCAGGAATTCCTAGGTAGGTGTAGATCACATCGTATTGCCTTTTCAAATCTCGTACCTGCTGCGTAAAGCTAGAGATCGACAGAGCCTACTATGCTCGTCCGGAGAATTCGATCGTCTGTAATGCGCATTGGCCAGGACTGGTCGATGAACTGCGTAAATGTCATTATACGGGACTACGTTGAAGTCTGCTAATGAGCCTTGATGCAGACCAAGGATGCAAGGTAACAGCATATGACCTCCGCCCATTCGAGATCCCAGACACCATTGGCGAGAGTTATGCCCGACTCAACGTCCAGCGCGGTGACATCTCCGACGAAGAATCCATCAGATCCGGCATCGCACTCGCTGTCAAGCGATTCGGGCCCATCAACATCCTCATTGCCAACGCCGGCATCACTGATGAAAGTCACGATTATCCCATCTGGGAGCTCCCGCTGGAAACGTGGGAGAAGACGTACAGCGTCAACGTCCGCGGCACGTTCCTCACCATCAAACACTTCTTGCACGCGGCGCGGACCGCACAACAGACTCTGGGCAAGGAGCTGGATAATCTGGCCATCGTCGTGACGGGAAGCGAGACGGGGGTCTTCGGGCAGGAGGGCCATGCCGAGTACGCGTCCGGCAAAGCTGGTCTCCAGTATGGATTGGTGAAGAGTGTGAAGAACGAGATCGTCCGTCTCAATAGCAGAGCGAGAATCAACGCCGTTGCGCCGGGATGGGTGGACACACCCATGATCGAAGGCAGACTGGATGATCCAAAGGAACTCTGGGGCGAAGCCCAAGCAACGTATGTTTCTGTCAACCAGCCCCGGAAGGCCGTCACTGATGGAATCATAGCGTTCCCCTCAAGAAGATCGCAAAACCAGAAGACGTCGCACGTACCATGGCGTTTCTGGCATCGCACCGCGCAGCAGGCCATATCACGGGCCAATGCCTCAGCGTCGACGGAGGCATGGAAGGCCGCCTCCTCTGGAAGGAGAGCAATCCATCAAACCCGAACCGGAGCCCGGAGACAACAAGCCTGGCCCCAAACCAATCCATCCCGCGCCACCTATCACCACCCAAACGCAACAAGATCCGCGTCGCGGTATCCATTGACCTGGACGCCGTCTCCGGCTGGCTAGGAACAGGCCACCACCCGGACAACATCCTCGCCGACTACTCCGCCGGCTTCTTCGCCGCCAAAGTCGGCGTCCCGCGGCTGCTCCGCATGCTCACGAAACTCAACATCGCAGACCGCTGCACCTGGTTCATCCCGGGCCACTCAGCCGAGAGCTTCCCGGACGAGGCTGCGCAGGTCGTCGCCTCAGGCGCCGAGATCGGGCTGCACGGATACGCGCACGAAGGCGCCTATCAGATGACCGTGCAGCAGGAGCGCGACGTCCTGGTCAAGTGCATAGACATCGCGACAAAGCTCACAGGCAAGAAACCCGCCGGCTACCGCGCGCCCCTCTACCAGCTCCGCGAGTCCACGCTGGATCTGCTCGAGGAATTCGGATTCGAATACGGTGCGGCCGCTTCATCCTCTCCCCCTGCCCCCACACCTCCACTACAAATTATAAGACATGCCACGCTTCGCTACAATACTGACGATAAAAACAGATGCATCGCTAACAGACCACGACTGCCACCCCTTTTTCGCCCCGCGCCGTCCCCCGCTCCAACCCGTCGACTTCTCCCAGCCCGCCTCCACCTGGATGCACCCGATCCCAGCCAGCGACGCCAGCGCAAACGCAGACCGCCGCCCGCTGGTCTGCGTCCCCTGCAACTGGTACATGGAGGACATGACCCCGATGCAGTTCCTCCCGCACACGCCCAACTCGCACGGGTACACGGACGTGCGCGTCATCGAGAACCTATGGCGGGATCGGTTCCTGTGGATCCGCGAGAATGAGGTCGAGCCCATCTTCCCTGTGCTGATGCATCCTGATACGAGTGGCATGGCGCATGTGATTGGGATGGTGGAGCGGTTGCTGAAATGGGTGCAGGGGTGGGGGGATGAGGTTGAATTTTGTCAGACAGGGGAGATTGCGAGGTGGTTTCGGGAGAAGGAGATGAAGAAGGCAACTTAGATTACGATATGATCATGGTAGACTACGAGGAATCTATTTTGACGAGACAATTTTGAAAGGAAATATGACTTGATGATTATGAATTATCACTCTGTACAAGTCTTTTGACTGGCATGCATGTAGACAAACCCCCATAACGCCTGATAAATGACCAAAAAAAAAAAAAGAAAACAAGTCGTAGCTCATCACTCGTTTGTCGTAGATTCAGAAAACACTTTTACTCGTAGAGATCCATGTCACCGCTTCCATCCTCAATCTCAGCCAGCGCGTCATCCTCATCCACCATTTCCTCATCTTCCTCAACTTCAACCTCGTGGTTTGGCAGCACGTCAATGCGTCCCTCGCGCATGACGACCCGGGCGACCTCGCCGTCTTGGATACTTCCACGCAGGATGAGAACGGCGAGTTTGTTGAGGACCTCGCGCTCGATGATACGCGCCAGAGGACGGGCACCGTACGCTGGCGAGTACCCTGCCTCGCCGAGGTAGTCTTTGACTTCCTCCGTGCACTGGATGGTGACGTTGCGGTTGTTCTGCTCGAGACGGCGCTGCACCTCGTTAAGGCGCAGGTCGACGATCTTGCGGATCTCCTTCCTGGTGAGCCGGTTGAAGATGACGGTGCTGGAGATACGGTTCAGGAACTCGGGTAGGAAGTAGTCGCGGAGAGCGCCCATGACCAACTCGCGAGTCTGAGGGTCAATGCGGCCGTCCTTGGTGGTTGGGCGCGCGAGGAACTCGGCTCCCAGGTTGGAGGTCATGACGACAATGCAGTTCTTGGCGTCGACGATTCTGCCCTGGCCGTCGGTGATCCGACCGTCGTCCATGAGTTGCAGGAGAACTGTGAGTACCTCCTTGGCTGCCTTTTCGACTTCGTCGAACAGAAGGATGGAGAAGGGGCGACGGCGCAGACTCTCGGTCAGCTGACCGCCAGCGTCGTGTCCAACGTAGCCGGGAGGAGCACCGATCATCCGGCTCAGCGAGTGTCGCTCCTGGTACTCGGACATGTCGAACCGGATCATGGCCTTGGGGTCGTCGAAGAGGAACTCGGCAAGCGCCTTGGTCAAGAGAGTCTTACCGGTACCGGAGGGACCGCAGAAGAGGAAGCTGGGAGGCGAGTTGGGGTTGCTGAGACCGGACCGCTGTAGCCGGATGGCATTGGAGACCGAAGTTACGGCCTCCTTCTGGCCAACAACGATCTTGCTCAGGTACTTCTCCATGTGCAACAGCTTGTCCTTCTCGGTGGTCTTGAGTCTGGTGACAGGAATACCAGTCCAACGGGCGACAATCTCGTTGATCTGATCGGGCCCGACCGCATCGGCAAGTAGGGCCTCGCCATTATCGCCATGTCGAGCACGACGCTCCTCGTCCGCCTTGAGGCGGTCGGCCTCGAGTCGCTCGATCAAGGCCTTGGTTTCGGGAATGGCGTAATACTCCAGATCGGCGGCCGTCTGAGTGTCGCCGGACCGCTCCGCTTCGTCTCTCTTGACCTTGAGCGAGTCGAGCTTGATCTTAGCATCTTGGATCGCCTTGCTGCGCTGCTTCTCGCTTTCGTACTTCTCACGCAAAGGCCGCAATTCTTCCGTCACATTGGCTGCTTCTTGCTTGGCTGCTTCCAACCGGGCCTTGGACGCATCGTCCTTTTCCCGCTCGAGGGCATGAATTTCAATCTGCAGCTGGCGGAGTCTTCTCTCGAGGTTGTCTAGGGCCTCGGGCTCCGACTCGCGGGTCACTCTGACGGCAGCCGCCGCCTCATCGATGAGATCGACGGCCGAGTCGGGGAGTCGACGAGCAGTGAGGTATCTGGCAGCAAGCTCGGCCGCGGCAACGATGGCACCGTCGAGAATGTTGACACCATGGTGTACTTCGTACTTCTCCTTTAGACCACGGAGGATGGAGATAGTTTCGGAGACGGAAGGTTCCTTGACCAGGACCTGTTGGAATCGTCGTTCGAAGGCTTGGTCTTTTTCAATGTACTTGCGGTATTCGCCGAGCGTGGTTGCACCGATACAATGCAACTGACCACGAGCGAGCATGGGCTTCAGCAGATTGGCGGCATCCATACCTCCCTCGCCGCTAGAGCCTGCACCCATGAGGAGATGAATCTCGTCGACGAACAAGATGATCGTGTCCTTGGATTCTTCGATCTCCTTGAGGACGCCTTTCATCCTCTCTTCGAACTCACCCCGGTACTTGCTACCAGCGACCAACGAGCCGACGTCGAGGGAAAGAAGTCTGCACTGGGCCAGATTGGCCGGAACATCGGCGTTCACGATACGACGAGCCAAACCTTCGACAATGGTGGTCTTACCAACACCGGGTTCACCGATCAGCACCGGGTTGTTCTTGGTCCGTCGACTGAGAATCCGGATGACTCGACGAATCTCCTCCTCACGACCAATGACGGGGTCGATCTTGCCCTCTCTGGCCAGAGCAGTCATGTCAATGGTGAATTTCTTGAGGTTCTCATTCTCGCCCTCGGCATCAGCGGTCTTAGAGTCTACCCGCCGTGTACCGCGGATCTGTTGTACCGCTGTATCAATCAGCTTGACATTGGGGATATTAGCATCCGCCAGTGCCCGCTGCACCTGAGAATCTTGAACGACCGAGAGGATGAGGTGGTCAATGGCAACATAGCTGTCCTTTTGCGTCTTGGACAGCTCGGTCGAAGAACGAATGACTTTGGCGAGGGCGGGTGAGACGCTCACTGTGTCAGGAGGAGGATCTTGACTCGGTAGCCGGACAAGTAACTTCATGAGGGAACGCTCGAGGAGCTGAGGGTCGCCATGAGCGCGCTCGACGACTTGGCGGAAGAGAGGTGCGGTGGAAGAGTCGTGAGAGGGATGGGAGGCGACTTGTTGATCTTTCGAGTCATCTGGTGGAGGATTGAGGAGAGCATGAGCGAGGTGAATAGGGAGGATCTGAGAATGGGCGTATTGCTCGGCCAGATGGCTCGAGTCCAATAACGCCTTGTTAGCTCTGTCTGTGAACTGAGCACCGTTCATTGTGAAACGGAACTGGGTATCAGATAATAATAATGTTGATGTGAGGGTATCTCTAGCACAAAAGGAAGAGAAGGAAACAGCTTGCTCGGACAAGAAGGGAGCTAGATATAGCTAGAGTTGGGCATCATCAGACCATTCTTCGTATCATCGAGAACAGTCTCTCTCTCTCCGCCATGACGACACCAGTCGCTTCCACCGCCTTCCAGAACAATCGCGGGAAATCACGTGACAGGACACGGCTGGCATAATTGACACATCTAAGTTACTTGACACTCATGTAGCTGAATCCTGAGTTTGTACTGCTCATTCGATGTATTATTTGAGTGGAGGTTACTAAATCAAATCATGTAAGAGTACCATCGCAGCTGTCGGTATCACTGACTACAGCTGTCAGATGTGCCCGTTGCTTGAAGTGGAGCCAGCATCGGGGATGCCTTGTTGCCTTTGCGCCTCATTGCGTTGCTCTGGACCAATCACAACCGCGTCCTTCAACACACTCAATATGGACATTGTGTCAAAGCGACCTTACTGAGCAATCAGACGTTTCTGTCACTGCTGGTCAACTTAATTTGGCTGAATAGGATACATAGAAGTTGAAAAGACAACGTGCGTTCAGTGTCGAGTCAGCGCATTAGAGCAGAGAGGATAATCCACCCCACGTTTTGCCTGTACGGAGTACATTGAGGATAATAATAGGTAAGCTATCAGTGTCAAAATCTCAGATCTGTCCTGATCAACAAGGGTTACTCAGGAATATGTAGAATCGTTGGTCTCATATTTAGACTCCTAGTCCATACCCTACTCTATCTTGGTATACAGCTTCATTTTTCCAGTCTCACCATCACATAGCCAACCATGACGTCAAAGCGGCATTCTTTCTGGTTCATCTCCGATCAGACCAGATACTGACGATATATTCTCTGCTTGCACTGTTCTCCTCATCAGCTAACTCAGGGCAAAACAGGGATATTCTTCATCTGTTTCCGACCAACGAACAGTCATGCCGGAGTTCTAGGTACTTGGTATCTCAGAGCTAACGCACACTAATTGGCAGGTATTGAAACCGTCTCGCCTCTCAAACGCCTGCGGACTTGTTTCCCCCCCACTTTTTTCTGCTTGATTTGCTGTGCAGGAAGGCCCCTCGTTGCGGCCGTGGTTCAGGAACTGCATAAAATCCACTATTTGGTCAGACCTCGGAATTGTTCCTTCTGACATACGTAGGAGGCGGCGAATCAAAGTAGATTATATCAGAAAGACGAATAAGAAATTAATTCATGGCATGGAGGGGAAACGTGTAGATCTCAATCTGTTCAAAATTTATTATGTGGAGGGGTAGATAGATATCAAGCCCTTAGGAACACACATTACCGTAGGATTGATCAGATATTCCAGGTGGAATGACTCGCATCAACACATACAATATTAATCTCACACAGTCAGAGATCTCTGAAGTAGCTTTAGCCAAGTGGGTTTAATCCAGCAAATAATAATCGTGAATTCAAGCAGCATCTCCAGTTCCTCAAGGCAGACCTTCTTATCTCGGACGGGCTGTAGCTAAACGTGGTTCAACGTCCAGACGATCTCCATCTTGTCCATTCCTATTACTATAATTATTCTCCCAATTGACTTGGTCATCCACTGAACTAATAGGGATTTACTTTTTCCGATTCGAAAAAGAAACGAAACTCGACTTCCCCTCATTCTGCCATATCACTCTGCATATAAAAAGCTTGCTCATCTTCACCTGGTCACTCCCGCTTCTTCCCGGTCTGAAGCATTCTTCGCCATCCTGCCTTGACCCATCTGATCGTCGGATAGGATTATCGTTGACGCTTCTCTTCTTCTTTTGATTGTCCCTGCTGTCTCGACACAGTATACGATTGGAAAAGAACAAGACAGGAGTTCAACCCAGTAGACTTCTACGCCGGTGGTGAAACTCCCTGGTTGAAGTAATACTCGGCTCCTAACTACAAACTGCTACCTTGGTTGTCATTTCGAC